TCAGGACGTCATGTCTGAAGCGAAGGCAAAGCAAATGACGGTAAAGCCAAAACCAGCTGTTGAGGAAAAGTGCAAAAGCTAGGGCAGCTAGGATGGTTAGGAGAAGAACCACAGAAAAGGGTAAAGTACGGAGTGAACTCCTGCGCGCAAACATAAGACACGATAAGCGCCAAGCATGATCGGTCAGGGACGGGAGAAGGAGAAGAATGCATTTAAAGAGCCGTGGAAGGGGCCCCGGCAAACGAACTATCCCTAACCAAAGCAGAAACGTCACACAGAGCAGGCTTGCGTGTTACTTGCAAATCTTGCGGATCTATAATTGCAAGGCCCGCTGCGTAAAACCATTGACATCTGCAACAAAAGTTAAGCGGAACTCGGGCAAGCTAGTCATTCTGCCTGCACTGCGCTGGCGTGTTCCAGTCCCCACCTGCAACTATGGAGCGCAAAATGTCCAAATCACAGCTGGCCAACGGGCGTCTTAGGATCCAGCCAAGGCTTCCACTAGCCACCTGCCAGTTCCGCGTAAGGTTCAAACGACAGAGCCTTCGGCTGCGCAGCTTGCAACAGGCTTGCGCCTCAAGACCGTGTCGCAGCAAACCTGCAAGCACTGCCAATGTCTGCACAGGATTTGGACTACTGCGAAGCCGCCTTTTGATTGGAAGGAACTGCCTTGGCAGCAAACGAAGCAGCTCACAACGACGCATGGCCATCTTCCCCCTGAATGCATCAGAGGTACATGACTGCTAGATGCGCTCGATGCATCAGGCCCTTGGCCAGCACGTCGAATGACACAGCCGCAGATAAGTCATTTCAGGCTGAAGCCCAGTCTGCTTGCGGCTTGGGAAGTGAAGACGGCGAGTGAGCCCTCAACATGGCCAGAGTCGACATTTGAGGGCTATTTCGGAAGATCCGTGCCTTCAAGGCGAAGTTAAGCAAGAACCAACGCCTCAAACTTAGCATGGCAGGCTTGGGCGTGTTGAACTCCACGGCGAAACACCCAGAAATCTGTTCGGCACTGCGCAAGTCGGGCAGCAGCCTTGCAGAGATAAACCAGGTTTGAAACAAAGCTGAGGATGCGGCCACACGAGCACTGCCATTTTCCTTCGTCACAGCAAGTCACGTTGACTTGAGAGGCGGCCCGCGTGCACTTCATTTGATTAGGACACAGTCTCACGCAAGTCAGCCCACCGTCTCGCGCCTCTTCACTGCCCAATGCGGTACTGGGAGATGCAAAACCAACTGGATATTACACTCGGAATCACGTGACCTCTAGCACTCCTCACATATGAAGCGTTACAAGTTGCAATGCCTAGCATTGCAGGGACATACCTCGCTATATCTCATGTGTTGCACTGCTTAAGCCTGGTGGCTTTCTCAATCTCAAGTCAATCCTCACAGCATGTCAACAGCGACACCGTCAATGCATCAACATGACCTCATAGCCAGATGCAATCCGATTTTGATCCAGCTCTTCGAATCAGCCGCGTCAGTCCACGATCTCAAAGATCTCAAAGTAATCCACGTCCCACTCAAGAACTGGCGACACGATGACTTGACACAGCTTCGGTCAGGAAGATTGCTTGGTACTTCCACGGAGATCCAGCTCATGGCACGTCAATCAGCATCCCAAACTGACCCAGTACCTGTATGCAAGGTAAACCGACCGTCGAACTGCCTTCATCTTGTTCTTCTGCGCACTTCTCCTCGCAGTGCCATTTTAGACGAAAAGTTGTTGATGGTACTAACAGCTGCGCGCCACATGGTTGGCGTTATACCAAATGAAGCTGTCACAACAGATTGAAAGTTGGAACTCTCGTTTGCCACGTTGCGTGTCAGAGCTGAGGGCATTTAATTGATTTGTCTTGACGTCACATGACGGGCAACTTCAAAAACGGAATCCGCGCTCAGCCACGGCCTTCAGCATGGCGGCCAGGCGCTTGCAGGTCGGCAGAGGGGCCAGGTGCTTCGCCCAGCAAGTCGCCTGGGAGGCCAAGCTCTTCAGTTCACCACACGAAGCTACAGCCACTTCTTACAGACAGAGCCATCATGAAAGGTTGCAGCCTTGCGCTGCAATGACTACAAGTGCAGGAAATTGCGGCACGTCTCACATCTGATCCTGCACTGCGCGGTTGCTAGGCTACAACGCACAGTCACCAGATGCCGGGAGCTGCCGCCCCTGGAGCGGCTGATGCTGCACGACTGCAGTCGGGACCAAGCCGGCACTTTTCCCTCAGACTAAGAGTGCAGCAAGTGCGCCCCCAGAAGCACGGATCTGCTGCACACTGCGCATCTGAGCTTGACTGCTGTGGCCGTCGAAGCAGGCATCACTTGATGCGACAACGAATGCATCAACGACGCCTGACGCAATTTCCCCTCACTGCGGATGCTGTGCGTACCTGCTTTCGCCACCAAAGGCTGCACTGCCACGTATGACCGCTCCTGCACCCTGGAATCCAGTCTGCAGACAAGAAGCCTAGGTCTGCTGCACATACCGCAGCTGTGCCTGCAGCAGTTCCAAGTGGCCCCGGATCTATCACCCAGGATTGCATCAGATGCACCACTAAAATCTGATGCACATCTCGCAGCTGATGCGGCACCCCATTGTTGCCAACACCACTGCAGCGTTGCTCCATATGACCATTGATCCTTCACCCAGGGTTGCCGCAGATGTGCAATCAGAAGCTTGGATCTGCCGCACGTTCTGTTGCTGGTACGGCAGGCCACTGTTGTCGTCACCATGCTCGGGTTTACCCCAGCAGCCAAGCACAGATCCAGCACAAGTAAGCACCGGTTCATTACCCAGGATTGCAATCAATGCGCGCGGAGAAGCTTGTATCTGCGGCTCATCTCGTGGTTGTGATGCTGCACGCCATTGCTGCCGCTTTCGCTGCAAGCATGTCTCCAAGTGATCGCGAATCCTTCACCCGGGCAACAGCAAATGTGGAAAAAATTTGGAAGCTTGGAACTCAGAATCTGCTGCACATCTCGTAGCTGACTCTGAAGTGGTCCCCACAAGCGAGCGCGGCCAGGATTGTCACATATTGCGACTAATGCGCACTCAGAAACACATCTCGCGGCTGGCGTTGCACGCCACCCAGCCAGAAAACAGGCATGGCACCAGCCCAGCTGAACACAGATCCCTCACCCAGGTCGGCAGCAGAGGCAAAACAATGTATCATGATGAATGTCGCCACTCTACTGCAGCTCATGATACTCCGTGTTAGACGCTTAGCGAGGCAGCACAGGGAACTTGAACTGAGCAGCAGACGTGTTGGTCTGCACAGCACCGGCCTGCAGGGGGCAGCTGCAGCACATGAGCTCAAAGAGCGCAACTGATCACAGATCCATCAGCCAGGATTGCAGTCGGTGCAGTGGGCAATTGCTGTCACCATCCAAATCGGAGCTGCCTCGCCTGACCACAGATCCATCACAAAAGCTTGCAGCAAACGTGGCGCAGGAATTTGCTGCACATCTCGCAGCAGATCTTACATCGTGCCGTTTCCATGTGACCACTGAACCTTCAACGTGCGTGTAGCTAATGATCAGCTAATGCGTAGACTGTTGTCGCCACCAAGACGGCACAGATCCATCAGACAGCAGTAAGCGCAACCCCAGAAGCACGAATCTGTTGCAAACTTACAGCTGAGCTGGACTGCCGTCGCCACCAAAACTAGGCATCACTTGACGAGACAACTGATGCATCAACGAGGCTTGACGCAAATGTCTTTCACTGCGGACGCTGTACGTCACTGCTTTCGCCACCAATGCCGGCACTGCCACAGCACATCTGCACACGGGAACCGGCCCTTGCACCACAAGAAACTTGGATCTGCTGTACTGTACTGCGCTGCCATCGCCACCGGAGTCGACATCAACTCATGCGACCACTGATCTGACCCTGTATATACTGCACTGCTGGCACCACGGAAGTCGGCATCACGCCATATAACCACCGATCCACAAACCAGGATTGCAGCAAAAACGGCTGATCCGAGCCCTTGCACCTGACTGAACTGCGCCGTTATAGCAGTGCTGCCGAAAACAGGTATAGCACCACGCTTCGTGACCGCGGATCCATCAGCCAGGATGGCCGCAACAGCTGCACGCAACAAACAGAGTTGCATCTCTGCAAATGCATCACAAGAAGCTTGAATCTGCCACACATCTGCAGCTGATCCGGCACTGCACTGCTGCCACCGAGACAGTCGGCATCACGGCACCATCTAATCACCGACCGATGTCAATCCAGATTGCAGCAAACGGCTGATCAGGAGCCTGGATCTGTTGCACCTCACAGAACTGGGCCTGCACCGCGATGCTGTCGCTATCCCAGTGACAGTCAGCATCACCTCACTACTACTGATCAACAGCGAGGATTGCAGCGATTGCAACAGCAGGAGGACTCTACCGCACATCGCACAGCTGACACAGCTGATCCGGTAATGCACTGCCGTTGCCATCAAAGCCAACATCAGGCGATGCAAAAACTGATCCAACAACGAGGACCGCTGCACATGCACAAGCTAAGAGTTTGGAATTAAATCACACCTTTCGCCACCAAAGTTGGTACTGCCCCAACGGACAACTATAGAGCCACCAGTCCAGGACTGCACAACAGCACGAAACGAAGCCCGACAGCCAGGTCAGAAGGGCTGTCTGGCACATGCGGAAGAGCAACGCAACTATAGCAACCGCCTCCTCATACTGCTCATATCTGCTCATCCACCGTTTGGCGGGGACTGCACACTACCCGCCACGCTTAAATGAACAGAAGCATATTGTTGATGGAAATTCCGTTTGTGCTTCATGTCCTGGCAAACAAGGCTTCATGCGAGCAGCGACAGCCTGAAACAACTATGCTGAAAAGACATTTCTAACATGTCTGCTGCATCGGCATGTGAAGCTGCTGCTGAGCAACGTGGCTTGAGCCAAAATGGCTACGCCAAGCAAGTCGCCTGGGAGGCCAAACTCTTCAGATCTGGCTACAGAGCGATATCTCGTCAAAGCCACCAAAGGATACTAGAGCCCAAAGGCGAAAGCAAGGCATGGTGCAGCTGCATGTCCAGGATCAAAGACTTGGATTGGATGCATTTTGAGGTCTTGCAGCACCGGACCAAGGACCCCACCCATGTGGGGAAGGGGCCAACCTCAGTGAACCAGCTGCAGGTCTACCACAAGGCTTTATTTGCATAGCACACCCAAGCAGACTTCTTCAGGGCTCCAAAATGTGTTTTCAACAGATTCACTTTCCCTGCCTGCCTGAGCAGGAACCAAGGTTACGGCTTGCAGACGTTGGCAGACCTCCATGGCGAAGTGCCCACAATTTCGCCTAGCTTCAGACTGCCCAACCCCTGTTGTGACTGAACACCGGGGGAAGCGATGGAACGTCTGGGCTTCAGACTCGAACAAGTGGTAGTGGCAGGCTTGCCTGTGCACTGTGGCAAGGCACTCGGTACGAACAGTCATGCCGCAAGGTACTGGGTTCGCTGGCCAGTCGCTGCAGTCGCTTGCTAGCTGGTCCAGGACTATAGCCACCTTCAGCAGCGGGGCACGAACCGAACCAGGAAACCATTTCGATCATCGGGTCCCCTCCGCACTCATCGCAATCCTTTACGATTCAAACACCCTCGATGAGTACGGCCGTTGGCAGGCCTCTTCTGCGTTGAGCACGCTCCGGCCAAGAGGCACAAGCTTGCGTGGGCATTTGTGTCTCAAGGGCCTCGCAGGTTTGGTGCCATAGCTACTAGACTAGTCAAACACAATCACACGGAAGCTTGCCCCAAGTCCCTTGGAAACTCGCCAGCCGCGCAACTGGTGTACACCACGCCCTCTGGCATCCGGCACCGGATTGAAGATCCACTCAACTCCCTGTACCTGCACACGCAGCGATACTGCAGGCTGCGGCAAGGGCGTGGAACCAGGGAAAACAGCTGCTGTCAAGGGCCAGCGTCACACAAAGTTGCGTAAATGCCTCCACGCCAATGTGGTAAAGTCCAGTGCCAAACAACCACAACCTCGAAACAGAGTGGCTGCGAGCCATTGCTGAAGGCAGGTGAGTTCCCATATATGACCCATGCTGAACTTCCAGCACCCACATGTGCAGTCGTTCTTGTAACCTCTTGCGCAGCTCTATCGGAATTGCCCGTGGCCTGCTTGGTAGCAACTCTTCACTCAAAAGAACATAAATCAGGCAACAAGAATTGGTGCTCAGCGTGCAGCCCTGCTCGCGTGGCAATGAATCGATGTGACGGATTCGCACACCCACTTGCTGTGGCCCACACAGGTTGTTGACGTTTTCGCAGTACGGCAGGTCGTAAACGACGACCGTGACCTTCAAGGCACACAGAATCACCTCCACGACAAGCGCCCATTGAAAAGCAGAGCCCTCAACGTGAACTGGCGCGTGGACGCCGTGGACAAGGACTTGATCGGGAAGTCCTGAAGCATTACATCTTGCATGAAGAACGTCTGGCGAACATCACCGAGTTCGAGACGAAGGCTTTGCTCAACCATCGGCTGATGAGGTGGATTCTGGTGCAAGGTTGCCCCGCCAGCTCCTGCACGCAATATAATCGCACTGGGAAAGAAAGACGCACGCTCAGAGAGCCAGAGGGATACTGATCATGGCCTTCGTCGACTGCCGAGTTGTTCCTGGGGCCTAGTGAGCATAGTGCAGTCACGGGCTTTGGGTCGTAGAGGCTCCAGCACACCGAATGGAACAACCTGTTCAAAAAGCAACAGCATCAGAGCCTCTGTCTGCCCGGCAGCGCTGGTATAGTTCCTGGGTAGATAATGGCATCACAGCACTCAACAGACCTGATGCCAGCATTACTGAACTCCCGAGCCGAGCGCCAAGTCTCCAGACCTCCATGTTTAGGGCTCACTGTGCATTGCGCCAGTCACTTGCGGCCAGGCGGCGCAAGGTGCAAGAAAGCCCTCGTGAGTGACCTGATTCGCCGGCATCTGGACACGAGGAGGCCTCAAGTCGACTCCACTGCCGCGGCCTCAAGTCTGGCCAATCCGGCGAGCCAAACCTGGGGCAAACTGCTCCTTTTAGTGCAGTGAACTGTAGGAGCTGTTCATTGCAGTACCGATATGACAGATATGACATATCTGAAGTAAGCTTTACCATCAGGGCTGTCGACGGCCAGCCTTGCACAGGAGCGTGAAGCGATGCCAGCCAAACATTCCATGGCTCAACGAATGCTACAAGATCTGAGCTCGTGATGGAGACTGTGACCTTCAAAGAAAGAGAGCTGAAGTGGTACAGTCAACTGCGCATGGTGCATCGCAAACGTGGTCCATCGTTTGGTGGCTGAAAGGCAGCATGTGAATCTCTTCCCCACTGTTCCGCGCAAAGTTTGTGTGTGGCCCCCGTGAAACTTTAGTGGCTGGGCCGGCCACGAAAGAAAAGAAAACTTTCGAATACTTCAATCGCCACAAGGAACCCATCTCGCGCAAGAATGTCCAAGTACCAGCTGCTCAGCGGCTTCAAAGACAGAAAACCCTTCTTTGATCACCTCAGATCCTGGGCTCCTGATAGCTGAGGGCCATTCGCTTCAAAGGCTAGGATCCTTGCATCTCTGGGACTTCATTCTCAAACAAAGATTTGCCCTTAGCTTCAAGCTCAGCAGTCATGACAATGAGTCCTGGTGGCATCGGCTGTCGGAAAGCTGCCACGGATATTGCCGAGCCCTCCACGGCAAACAACGGCCAACCCAAACCCGTCACCCGAATATTTCCACGAAACTTTGTCCCCTCCTCTGCGATCATCATATTGACCTAACTCAAGCCCGCCGCTTTCTCAGTCTCCTTCTCTCCCGGTCTGCAGATGCAGGCATCCGCCTGACCGACCCGGAGCTGGCAAGCAGCAAGCATTGAACCGAGGAATGAAAACTTACGGGACCACACCTCAACAACACCAAGATCGATCTTACCTGCGGAAGGCTTTTGCCAGACATCCGACCTATAAACTTCACTTCGAAAGATTACCAGAATTAGTACGGCAGTATTTGAAAAACCTACCAGTTAATGAACTGTACTGGGGTTTTTGTCAGTGTTGTTGTTCTGGCATGTTTCATTGCAGCGTGGCGTTCCTCGAAACACCTGCGCATGGCACACATGCGACTGCCAAAAAAGTGCTTGCGAAAGCACGTGCAGTCCTCTCTGCACACGGAAACGGGCACGCAGAGCCACTGGAATGGCGATGGGTCGGGAAAGGTGTCTTTGTCATCTTTGTGTGGAGTGCGCAGGTACAGATCCAAGGGCCGAAGCACATCGAACAAAGACCCGTGCACGCGAGAGGGGCGAACTGAGATGCTTGCCAATCACGCCAGTGCGACAGCACACAGTCCTGCCAGCAAATTTTTGTTGGGCGCCGGCGGGCCTCGATGACAGTCTGACAACAGCTGCTGTGCTCGGCCCCTACAAAAAGCAAAAAAGCCAAGAAACTCTCCAAACAATTCCTAACCGAAAAAGAAAAAAACAAGTCGTGACAAAAGGTCCTAGATGACTAATTACAGTGGGGGAATTCTGATGAAACTGGGTGGAGGATCAAAAAATATTAAAAGGGATCAAAAACAAATTTAGGCTGAACGGATCCAAAAAAATTTAGGAAGGATCAAAAAAAAACCTAGGGATTGGAGATTTGTTGCAAACAACGGCAAGTGCTATTCCAACATCTCCGCGTCGAAACTGTGCGAAACTACGGTGTCAATCCCGGAAAAGTCTGGGACTGCGTAGAGGTTTCGAACGGTTGGTGTAACCAGAGTTGCTGGCCATGGCTGCGTGGGTCAAGCAGCTCTATTTGCCAGGATGAGATTCCAATAGTTCAGCGTCGGAAGCTATATATATGGTGTCAAGGCCGCAAAAGACCACAAAAGCCTGGCACAGCGTGGAGGGCTTCGACGTTAACAGTTGCCGGCCAATGGGTGCGTGCGAAGGATATTCGGAACTCGCCAGCTCCGCATCGAATATATGTATGTATATATATATATATATATATATATATACATGTACACTTTATATATATGCACATATTTGTACCAACTGTACCCCTTGAATAAAGATGCATTTGCCTTTTGATAGTTTTTAATTTGTTTAATTGATCCCTTTATCTTTTCTTATTTAATGCCTTTATATTTTCTTGTCGATCCTTTTTTTGATCCGTCAGCTAGACAATCTCTATCCTGGTCCAAGTCTTGTGCCACGGTAGACATGCCACGAAAAGAAACGGACAGCGTCATCTTGCCCAAAGGCGCGCAGCGAGGCTTCGCTGATCAGTGTCGAGAAGCCGCGAGTGGCCGCGAGTTTGCGAGGCCAAAAAGCGAGGAAGCCGACAAGGCCCAGTCATCGTACGCATGTTATCTGGAAGCCCAGAAGCCAAGAAGCGAAGAAGGCCAGAAGCCAAGAACTCGAGAAGCCAAGCTGCCCAAAGCCAAGGAGCCAAGAACCCGAGAAGCCAAGAAGCGAAGAAGCCGGCAAGGAAGCCTTGAAGCCAAGAAGCCAAGAAGCCAAGCAGCCAAGAAGCCAAGAAGCCAAGCCGCCCGGAAGCCAAGAAGCCAGGAACCCAGGAAGCCAATAAGCCAGAAAGCCAACCGAGCCCAGAAGCCAAAATAGCCGCGGAGCCAGGCAGCACCGAAGCCAGGAGCCCGGAAGCCGAAGGCTGCCAAGCGAGGAAATAGGCACAGTACCTCGTAAACGCTAAGTTTGTTTTTGATTCTTTCTAAGTTTTTTTTGATCCTTCCTAAATGTTTTTGATCCCTTTTGAATTTTTTTGATCCCTCTCCCGATGAAACTGGACTCGTGGGACGGCGCAAATTTTCACATTGTCTGTACATTTATTTCATCCTAAAACCTCCAGACCCCCCCCCGCCCAACTTTAATCACAACAGAGCATTGCAACAAACACTGCGGCCCGTCCGGGTCCCATCAGATCCCGTTTTTCCTGACAAGGGGGGGCTGGAACGACATGAAGAGCCCTGCGTTGTGGACGAAATGGAAAGAAGCGGAGCTACGGCCATGAGGGTCGTTTATACGCAGACCTCCGATCTCGGAGCGAGAAAGGGGTCTGGAACGACATGAAGAGCCCTGCGTTGTGGACGACATGGACAGAATCGGAAAAAAAAGCGGAGCTACGGCCTGACGAGGGTCGTTTACACAGACCCCCGATCTCGGAGCGAGACGAGGGGTCTGGAACGACATGAAGATCCCTGCGTTGTGGACGAAATGGAAAGTTCTAAGGATTCTAAGTTCTAAGGATTACGTACTAAGCCACCGCGGTCAAAGGTTTGCAAGTTGCACTTGGCAAACAACTCCTTTCGCAAAGCGTGACCATATATGAAAACAAACTATTCTCAGAATATACAATGCAGTACAAAGCAGACCCTCGCATCACACTCACTCGGATCAGTCTTCCACTTTTGGCGGTAGAACACACAGCCTGTCGTCATGCATAGACCAACGATGCATCAGAAAGATGTGTGTACATAAGCAAGGCCCGTCCGTCCTGTACACAACAGGGACCAAGCGCACACGCACCTCAAGTGACTACCGTTGACACGTCCGCGAGCTCATCCAGTAGCCAGTGTGCAACCAAGAGAAACCGCATAGGTAAAACCAACCGATAACAGCAGGACCGAAGACCGTAAGGAAACCCACACATAGCCCCCGGATCGAAAGCTCGGGCGGGAGGGAGGGAGCTTTCGACTCCACTCTCCGATGTTTGAGCCGCTGGTGGCTTAGTATGGAACATATACTTCACAAGCATCAAGCGGAAGCTAGAACGAAATCTTAAAACATGTTTGAGCTAGCACAAAAAGCGTTCTAAGGATTGCTAAGCCACCGCGGTCAAAGGTTTGCAAGTTGCACTTGGCAAACAACTCCTTTCGCAAAGCGTGACCATATATGAAAACAAACTATTCTCAGAATATACAATGCAGTACAAAGCAGACCCTCGCATCACACTCGGATCAGTCTTCCACTTTTGGCGGTAGAACACACAGCCTGTCGTCATGCATAGACCAGCGATGCATCAGAAAGATGTGTGTACATAAGCTAGGCCCACCCAAAACTGCCAAAAGAGGAAGACTGGATCGCATTCGCTACCCAAGACCCACAAGTGAGCCAGGCTACATGTTTTGGCAACGATGGCCGGAGTGCCTCCCACCTACGTCCGCGAAGCTCAGAGGCACAAACGAAGTTCCAGTCAGCGCTGGCACAGCAGACCGTTCCATCGCGCGCAGGAACTTTCGCAAGGCATCGCGCAGCGGAAAATGGAAGGCACGCGCACCACCGGGGGAAAGCAAAGCCGACCGCGCACCGATGGGGTCCAACCAGCCGCACGAGCCCACAGCACCAGTTTCAAGCTTGCGTCTGCAGTGGCGGCTGCCACAACAAAGAAGCCTCCGGCGGGAAAACCCGCACATCCTTCGCACCATCCCACAAGAGTGGCATGGAACAGTCCACACGATAACTAAGCTGAAAGCGATCTGGCAGCACCGAGCAGCCATCCCACCTGCTAAGCATATCTGCGTCATCGTAATGGCAATGGCAACCACTCACATGCGTAGCGTCAAGCGTGATGGCGGACTGCCATGCGACCGTAGCCAAGCGTTGGACAAAATGTGCCAAGGGCTGTATCGTAGTGAACATGTTATTACAAGCTAACTCAGTGCCAGAGTTATCTGTGAAGGCAGGAAGCTGCAAATGCATACGGCCTCCCACGCATGCAGAGGCAAACAGGCGCACGAGCCCCACCTGAGCCAAGGTCTCGTACGGCACAATGTCAAGATTTGCATC